AGTCTACCATGACAGTGAAGGTGGTGGTAGGGTGTGTTCTCTCCTCCAGATTGGGTGTCAGAGGTTTGCCAGACGATTATGGTCAAAGCCCCTGTGTATAGCGCATCTGAAGTTGGATACCTGATAGAGAAACTCATCTACTGAAGAGCTTGTGTTGTGTGAATAGTAGCAGCACTCGAAAAGAGTGGACAAGGATGGCATGCCTTGAGAGATGGGGCCTTCGAGCAGCGAGGCATTCCCCCTCCTGGGTTTTGGGACCAATCAAAGAATGAACAAGGCATGTCATTGGAGAAAATGCTCGTTTATTGAGGAACAGCTCTGCATATTTATAGAACTAGGGGTGGTTTGACAGTTATGACAGTTAAACAGTTTAATGGTTTGACAGTTGGCATGGGGTGCTTTCTGATTGTGGTTAAGAATCATGTGAGTCAGCAGGGCTAGTCTGATTGGAGGGTAAGGATCATGTTGGCCAGAAGGGCTAGTCTGATTGGTGGGTAAGGATCTTGTGAGCCAGCAGGGCTCACCCTTGAATGGCTCTTCTCAGAGGATGGGGAAGTTAGTCTTTGGAGCTGGGTCCACTCCCAACAGGAGTAATCAGGGGAACTGTAAGGGACCGGTGAAACGTCAGAGGAAGAGATCACCAAGAAACTGTCTCATGCAACAGCAAAAGGGTTTATTTGGGGACCAGCATGCTGGGGCTCAGAGCTCACTAGAGCAAAGAGAGATCGAGCCCTCAGACCAGCTAAAGCAAAGCTTATATACTATATACTTTCCTTGGAGAGGGCAGGGAAGGAAGTTTATTGACAGGTCAGGGCAAGTGGGCAGTTTGCCTGCCACCGAGTGAGGAAGTGCATCTTGCAGTTTGGCAGTTGGGGACAGCACATTTTGGAAACAAGATTAGCAAACAGTTCTCAGGATTTCAACAGTGTTTTGTTAAGCATATAAAAAAACGAAGTGACAAGTACCTATTTTATTAACCTTTCAGAACCAGGGTTGAAATTGCTCTCTTAGTCCACAGAAGCTGAGCAGGAAGTAACAGTGTGACATGACTGTCATAATCCTAGAGCTACCCAAGGACAGAAGAAAAATAAATGTGAACTCGTTTTTAATGGTAGAGTTGAAATTTGATCAGAATGTGTTAAGTCCTGTGTTTTTTTTTATTTTATTTTAGAAGTTTATTTTTATATTCACATAATTATTTTTAATTACTGGTATTCACTCTTATAAGTGTCATGATCACTTACTTCAATTGTGGTGGTTCTTTCCTGTTAATATACATGAGTGATTCAGAATCTGTGAAAGTATAGGAAGATATTAAGGAGGTAAGACATAAGAAGTGATAGAAGGCTCTATTAGTTTATGACTTTTTTGAGTCTAATTTCCCCATGAAGATCAACTTCTCATTCTGATTAGTGTTTGTGAGAGAACTGGAGAGAGGGCAGATTGGCAAGTGTGGATGAATCAATGTCAAAAACCTAGTTTTGTCAGCATTTTATGTAATCTATTGACTCATAAATCTACCCAAGACACAGGTATGGTTTCCTTGTTTTGTGTCAACAAAGCACTCATGCATTTTGTAAAAATTTTTGTCAATATTCAAATAAAGACAACATAAGATATCCTTCTACTTAATATGATATGACTCTTCTATGTATATCCTAAGACGTCATCAACTTTTCCCAAGAAGTGTATATAAAATATACAATCCTTTCCTCATTAAGGAAAAAAATCATTTTTTTTGTATTTTGTGTGAAATTTATTCTTTTTCTACTGATTCATACTTCTTTATTTATATCCAGTTATTTAAATACCGAGATATGATTTTAGGTACTATTCAAACCTCATGTTTGATGAGAGGCTGACAATGAAATAAACAATTTGTGTAATATAAATATACAAATTATTATCAGCATTAAGAAGAAATGCAAAAGTATGGCAGTCTGTGTCCTGAGGGTTGTCCACATGGTCATTACTGGTGTTTATAACTATCCTATTTCACTCCACAGTCCATACTGCCTTGCTTCACAGCTGGTCATTGTTCCTGGTAAGGTGGGTGACCCAAACCTTCATCTCTGAAGGATCTGAGCCCTTATCAGTGTGAATTGACTTGGGATTTAGTTTCAAATTGCCCTCCATCACAGACCTGGAAGTTCGACGAGGCACCGATTAAATGTCCTATGTGAAACTTGCTCTTCCTCTCTGTATTGTGTAGTATAAACTCAGTTTCCCCTTTCTAGTCAGAATTAATCACTCCCTGCCACAGAGTGACCTTCTTTTTCACCTGTTGATTCAGCTATAATGAGCATCCTAAAGTGGCAGTAGGGCAACCTCAATTCTCAAAAAATGGAATCACTTTGTATCTGTGTAAAAGAATCTCTCCCTTTGTAGTTAAGAGTTTTCTAAAGCAGCAAAACTGAAAAGTACAGGAACAAATAATGTTGGTGAGTCATAGACATCAATATAATAGGGAGAGAACACACTCTCATTTCTATCCATTGAATGTTTGGGGTCTTATCTTATGAATCCTTGCTGTGAGAGAAGCAGTACCATAAATTAGATGCAGACGTTGAGCATGTATCACACCCTGGAGGACATTACTCCAGCAATAAGAAATGTTTCCAACTAGGTGTTGCTTGAGGCAGATTCTTACCAGGGTATTTCACCATTCTATCAGGTTCTGTGTTTCATGAAGATGGAGGACCTATGTTAAATATAACAAATCCCATGAACACAGGCTATATTGCACAATTATTTGCTGTGAATCAAGCTCCTTGATCAGGAGCAATGCTGCGTGGAATACTATCATGGCGAATAAAGCATTCTGTGAGTCCAGAGATGTTAGTTCTGGCAGCAGCACTTCAGGTGAGGAAGCAAAATCCATACCCAGAGTGAGTGTCCAGTTCAGAAAAAAAATGAGAGTCCCTTTCATGTTGAATATGGCCCAATGTCATAATGTGCTATGGAGGGGCTGGCTGATCACCCCACGGAATGGTGCCATGTTGGGAACTCAAGTTGGTCTTTGCTATTTGCAGTAAATATTCCTCAGTGGCTTCAGACAGATTGGCCTTGGTGAGTGTAAGTCCATCATGCTGAACCCAGGAATAATCTTTACTCCTGATGCCAGTTTGTTCATGCGTCTATTGGGAAGATGCCAGGACTGAGTGAGGAAACAGGAGTTAATATCCAAAGTACAGATTAACCCTTTTTGGATAAGAAGATCTATCCTGCGGGGGGTAGTAATAATGTTGTTTCTGAAAGAACCACTGGACAAGGATCATCATTGGAGAAGTACCTGTTTATTGAGGAACAGGTTTGCACGTTTATAGAGCCTGAGGCCATTCAACAGAGCAGGGTATTGGCACGGGGCACTTTCGGATTGGTGGGTAAGGATCATGAAGGTCAGCATGGCTCACCATTGGGCAGCTCTTTCTGCTGCTCTCTTGGGGCATGAGGAAGTTAGTACCGGAAGAGAACCGTGGTTGGCACCATCTTTGGAACCAGGGCAACTCCCAACAGTTTCCATAAGAATCTTTTTCATATGTATTATCCAGAAAAGTTTGAAGTTACAGGATATTAAAAGGGACACATGTATCAGAGGAATGAATATCTCCCCTAGGTGAAATAAAGAACTTTGGATTTTCTCCTGGAGAAAAAATTAAAGTGTTTACCTTCATGCTGGATGTATTGTATTTATTTACACATATATCATTTTTGTATTTGGAGGTTAACTTGACTGATGGAGGCTGTGAAGGTGTGCCAAAAGAGCAGAAGATGGGCTGCAGTGACTTTTTGATGTGTGAGGTTGTCTAGGATGAACTACATTTCCCAAAATTCCCTCTAATTTCTCATTTCTAGTTAAGGTGGATCTTAGAGGAGCTTCCTGGGAGATTAGAAGGCAGAAGGGAAGCAGCAATCATATAGTATTAATATATTGTTGCTTGTCTGCTGGCTCACACCTCAGTAGTATGGAGCAGTGGCTGCGCCTGCAGTTGCTCTACCTTCCCCAGGATTCTTTTAGGCTCTTGGAATTCTTGGCTAGGGGTGTGCATTCAGCTTTATTAGAAATCTGACCTAAATTTTCCATGTTCCTATATGAAAATACCATATGGATCTCATCTGGATGTATATCCACAAGTAACTAATAAAAAAACTCTAAATAAATAGCAGATCAGCAGAGTAGAGGGAAGGGATCAGAGGAAGGGAGGAGGAGAGGAAAAACGGAAGTATGCAGACTGAATTGAGGCCTATTTTATGCTTTTTCATCATGTTAAAAAATCCAAATATTTTGTAGAATTCAAAGGAGCCAATACAAAAAAAAAAAAAAAGAATCTCAGTGCCTAATTCCATAGGCAAGCAGAACTGACTCTTTTTTATTTGTTTTCTCTTGTGTTGTCACAGCTCATGCTTTTGTATTTTGTCTGTCTCTTGTCTGCTTTGCTTTGTATTATCTTCCTTTCTACTGCTTGCCCTGTATATCTAAAGTTTCCACATCAGACTTAAACATGAAAGCAGTATACCAACTCCTTAACCAGCTTCCAAAAAAAAAAAAATGAGGCCAAAGTTCTGTAACACCACCCTTAACAATTACATGTATTAATATAAATGTCTTAGTGGTTTAGATGGTCTTGATAAAACCTGCCTGGTAAAATAAAAAACATAATCCAACAACCATACAAACATAGACACACACTAAGACAAATCACACATATGATTACACACACATATGCCTATATTTAGTAAGAAGAGTCATAAAATTTGGCCCTTAATAGAGTCTTGGAATTTCAAATGACCATGATCATGATGACAAATTTTAAGTTTATCTTGCTTTGAAAAAACTGAATTTCAATAATTTCAGCTGCTGGATAATTATAAATAGAGAAAAATCTCTTCACAAATGTTTTATTGGATCAAAGTGCTTATCACCTTGTATACAGGATCCCATATTTCTGGCATCACACTTTGTCTCCACTCCCTGTTTCCCTAGGGCCTGAGAAGGGACCATGTGGCTAAGGAATCAGATGTCTCTGGCAGACTTCATCCTTGAAAGGCTCTTCGAAGACTCCTTGACCCACCTTTTCCTTTTCTGCCTGACCATGGTGGTCTACATTGTTGCACTGAGTGGCAACACCCTCACCATCCACCTCATCTGTGTGGATCGTGGGCTTCACACCCCCATGCACTTCCTACTCAGCCAGCTCTCCCTTATGGACAAGATGCACATCTGCACAATCATCCCCAAGATCGCCACCAACTACCTGTCTGGCAGGAAGTCCATCTTTTTCATGGGCTGTGCCACCCAGCACTTCCTCTATTTGTCTCTGGGTGGTGCTGAGTGTTTTCTGCTAGCTCTCACATCCTATGACAGGTATGTTGCCATCTATCATCCTCTGCGTTACACTGTTCTCATGAACAGGAAGGTGGCACTGCTGATGGCCCTCACGTCATGGTTGGGGGCTTCTCTGAACTTTGTAATTTACACTTTCATCTTGATGTACTTACCTTTCTGTGAGATTCGGAAAATACACCACTTATATTGTAAGTATCAAGCTGTCGTGAAGTTGGTTTATGTTGATGTCACTGTCTATGAGTCCACAGTGTACATCAGCACTATCATGCTTCTCCTCCTCCCAATAATCCTGGTTTCTACATCCTATTTCTTCATCTTGCACAGTGTCATTGAGATGCATTCAGCTGGGAGTAAGAGAAATGCCTTTGCCACTTGCAGCCCCTATCTCACTGTGGTCTCTCTCTGGTTTGGTTCCTGCATCTTCTCATACATGAGGACCAGGTCCCAGTGCACGCCACTGCAAGACAAAGTTGTTTCTGAGTTCTATAGCATCATTACTCCCACACTGAATCCTCTGATTTATATTTTTCAGAATAAGAACGTAGCTAAGGCTCTGAGGAGAGTGTTGAGGAGAGATTTTTATCTCCCAATGACTATATCCGTGTTTGTCCCAAATGTAGATATTATTCTGGGTAAATCTCAAAGAATTTTCAAGAATCCAGATGCCTGATGTTCTCTAACTCCTCCAAGAATAAAGTAGTTTACATATAACTTCACTATTTTAACTTAGTTGCAGGAATTCAAGCAGCGTCATATATATGTCTACAGTCATTCAGAGTATTAGAGAAATATCTTTAGAAATCCCATTAAAAGAAGAAAAATAACAGTCAGTGACACTCTAAACATATTAGGATAAATATATAAGGACCTTTCTATTATTATTTATTAACAAGACATATGTAAATCATACCTCTATAGGGTATTTAAGGAGTGTAAAATTAAAATTTGTTGCTTAATATCAGAGTCATGGGAAGTAAAGTGTATTTTGAAAGAAACAATAGATGATACAAAATTTATACTCATAGATTTTTATAGTTGTTGATTCAGTGTTTATGAATTTATAAGTAAAGTAATAAAGAGGTGAGGATATGGAGAGGGGTGGAGAGAGTCCCAAGAAAACCAGAGAGGTTGAGTCTTCATGTGTGGCAATGAGATGGACACCTCCTTTCCATTACACAACACAGAGTACTGTATAGAGACACTGACCAAGCCTAGAAAAGGTCCAGCATCATTAGTAACTCAACAGCAGCATCAATTTATCTTCAATTCAAATTTTTATTCACAGAGCAAATAATTTTACACTCCAGAGATACCCTTTTGGTCTGACATACATCCTTCTTTAAGAACAGAGCATAAATCTTTAGGGAGATTCAGATTCTACTTTACAGGCTTTTCTCTTGACACAATCTTTAGAACATTGGTTTTTATGGCTTAAGTAATGATTCCCTGCTAAATTTAAGAGGAATCTGAAAACTAGCATACTTAAAAGTAGTAAATGAGGCACCAAAACAAAAAGAATTAGAAAAGGTAAATTTCAGATAATAAAGCTCTACCAACATAGAAAAACTACTTTTAGCCTTGTATATCTGGGATTCCTTCAATTTATTTTATAGGCTGTGTCAAAATTGGATAGTGAAATTGTATATACATCTGTCCATTCAACAAAATATTTCATGAGCATCTACTCACTGTCATGCCTAGGATAAAATCATGTTGACTTGTGGGTTTTTGTTAAATGTGAATTTGTAGCAAGAAAGCTGGAGATGAAGCTCAGTGGTTTAGCACTTGCCTAGCAACCATGAGGCCCTGAGTTCCCTGATACCACAAGAAAAAAATTTAAGTAAAATGGATGAATGTAAAAAAATTTAAACCAGATTCAAACTCTCTGTAAAGCTAAATAAACTGAACTTCATGGATGTTAGCTCATGTTCTTTCATGCATGGGTTACACAGGAAACCCTGAATAGATTTTATAATTTGAAGTATTTGAGTAGTCCCTCCCTTCTAAAAGAGTCCAGTCATGCCTTTTGATTGAACCAATGCAGTTTAAAGATGGAAAATACCTTCAGGGAATATTATGCTTACCCGCCTCCAAGGCTCCTCTTTGTCTTTACTTCCAAGAGACGTGCAAATGGGGAACATTTGAGTCCTACAGAGTTTTGAGGAGCACTTTTGCCCTATTCTCACTGAGGCATTTCTTTACTATCAGGGTACCTCCATCAAAGTATTCTACTGATTTTAGGAGAGAGAAGAGAAGAAAATTGTCAATGGAGATTGAGAAATTCCAGCTGAGAAAGACTAGGAGCTTGCAGAAAGTACCTACCCCATCCTAGGTGTACTAGAGACTTATTTTCTATCAGATCTAAGTTCCCTATATGTACATTCATGAAGCATAGCTACATGGATTCCCTGAATCCTCAAAGAAAATGATAACCATATCTCTCCTCTCATTTCCCATATGGAAAACTAATAAATGGGGGAGGATTTGCATATTAAATGAAAAATCCCTAGAAATAAGCCATATAAGACCTTGCTTTTTATGACTCAATGACAACTTTTCATTTTTCATAGAAGAGATTCCACATTGTTCCATAAATGTGACAAATTACTATTTTTAAATTTCAAATAGTTTGCAAATATTTTCTGCATACTGAGAGACATGTGTGTGCACACACACACACACATACACACACGCACAGAAAGAGGGAGAGAAATGTTATATGTAAAATTTTAAAATTAAAAAGAGTAAAAAATGACAGCCATGAAATATAATTCAATGACAAGTCTCTCCTTAAATGTTTACTGAATGCTTGCCATGGGTGAGGTTCCCTACAAGTCACCACTGGAAGTTTATGAAAGGCATAAATAAGGTAATGTGGTTAAGTAGGATGATCTACTAAGATACATAAAAAAAAATAGGCCTCCAGGGGCTGTGGTTGTGGCTTAATGGTAGAGGGCTTGCATAGCCTGTTTGAGGCACTGGGTTCAAGTGTCAGTACCACATTTAGAAAACTAAGATGAAAAGTTAAAATATAGGCCTACAAATAGGATGCTTTAATAAAAAAAAATTAACTTAGATGATGAAAAAAGTTTGCAGTAACCAATAACAAAATGGAGGAGTGAATGAGTCTTGCATTAGATGGGGTGGACTCCTTGGAAGAGTTTGTATATTGAACTAGAATTTGAAGGATGAGAAGAAGGGGGGAAATAAGAGTCAGAAAGAGTTATTACTGAAATGTAAAAGAAGTAGTTTTTCTGTAACAGGACTCCTGGTGGTCAATCAGGATTGCCCTGGACTGTATAAATCCTTCATAATGTTAAGAAATTATTGACATCAATGATTCTCAATTTTGTCTGAGAATGATAACTGAAAGATACAAGACTGGTATACAAAAACAAACTGTGTTTCTATACACTGTGATAAACACTCCAAAAGGGAAATTAAGAAATGAAGAAAATAATTCAATTTATGAAATCATTGAAAAGAACAAATACTTAGGAATCAAATTGAAAAAAGTGCAAAACAGGCCTGGGGCTGTAGCTCAGTTAGTAGAGTGCTAGCCTAGCATGTGTGAAATACTGGGTTTGATCCTCAGCACTACATAAAAATAAAATATATTGTGTCCATCTATTATAAAAATATTTTAAATAACCAAAAAAGTGAAAAACAGGTACAATAATAACTATAAAACACTGTTGAAAAAAATTAAAGAGGATCTACATGACTATCACAAAACACGCTAGGTTTATGGATCAGAAAACTTAATATCAGCAAAATGGCAGTACTCTTGAAATCAATTTGCAGGTTTGAATGACCTTTGTAAGAGAATCATAGCTGACTTCTTTGTAGAAATTGACAAAATGATTTAAAATTTAAATTGAATTTAAAGAAACCCCAAATAGCCAAAATAATTTGAAAAACAAGAATAAAGTGTAGGATTCACATTTCTTGATTTCAAAACTTAACACAAAGCAAAACTACTTTTTTGGTGATAAAGAAAAATGGTAGATCTATTATAGAAAAGAGTTTTGGTGGTTCTTCATTAAGTGAAACACAGAATTACTGGTCCTGGCAAATGGGTAAAATATAGATAAGTGATTTGGAGTTCAGAAAGAAACCCACCTGTCTATGACCTGTGGAATTTTGAGAAAGGTGTCATTGCCATTGAATGGAGCAGATACTCTTCAAAAAAAAAAAAAAAGAAAAAGAAAAGAAAGAAAGAAAGAAAGAAACTGCAAAAACTGAATAGCTACATGCAAAACAATAAAGTGTTGTCCTTATCTGACCCTGTATGTAGAACTTAACTTAAAATGGTTGAAATACCTAAGTATAAGAGTTAAAGCTAGGTCACCTCACAGTAGTCTTGCCAGTAGCGGGTGTTGGGGCGTGAGCAGCGCAGGGTGGCCTCTAGCCCGCCCCTCAGGCGGGACCCGGGCTGGGTCCCCCGGCTCCCTCCTCTCCCCACCCCCATCTGGTACCGGAAGGTCTAAGCCGCTGTCCCCCGGGAGGGACATTGCTTGGGCCCCCAGATTACAGAAGAAATCTTTCTGGAGTACCTGTCCTCCCTGAGGGAGTCTCTGTTCGGAGGTGAAACCTATAACCTCTTTGAACACAACTGTAACACCTTCAGCAAGAAGTGGCACAGTTTCTGACTGGGCGGAAAATCCCTTCTTACATCACTGACCTGCCCTCTGATGTTCTCTCCACGCCCTTCGGACAGGCACTCCGACCGCTCCTGGACTCCATCCAGATCCAGCCTCCTGGAGGGAACACTGTGGGCAGACCCAATGGCCAGAGCTAACAGGACTGCACGGGACCGCCCACCTCTCCAGGGCTTTTCCTTTTTATTTATTTTTTTATTGTTTTATTTTTTGGCTTTTCCTTTTTAAACAAAACAAACCCTACCAGATTTCTATTTTATAATTTTACATCAGAGCTAATAACCAGGGGATGGCTTTTTAAAATACCAAGGAAGGAGTTCGTCAGGCCGCATGTAGGACAATGCTGCTAAGAAACAGAACAAAATGCCACCCCTTCTAATAGTATTATACTAATTTATTAAGGCTGTCTTGTTTGTGAGTTCACTTTTGACGCTGTTTCCTAAGCGTCCTCCACACTGGAGAAACGGAGGGGATTTGTTTAAGCAAAAAGCAAGAGGCACAGTTTGGAGGAGCCCCAACCTAGAACCTCCTTCGAGAGAATACCCACACTCCACCCAGGTTGCCACACCTGTTGGACCCAGGTGAGTTTTACAACGTTGTGACAGAGCAGTTACTCTCTAGTGGTTCATGCACCAAAGGATTTAGTACACTTGGGACAAGTCGCAGGGTGACTAACCCAGCCTAAGTGAACTCTTTAGCTGCAGCTCCTGGAACCTCCCTCCCCTGTCCCAGCCCATGGGGCCAGGGCTGGAGCAGCTAGAGCCTCAGGATCACAGGAGAGTGACAGCAAGAAAACAGGATAAAGCCATTCCCCCTTCCACCTGGACTGATCGCAAAATTTTCTGCCATCAGTTTTGGAAAACCTGCTTGCTGTCCACCACAAGGCTCTCTCCCTCAGCATAGCTGACCGATGGTCATGGCTGAAGGTCTGGGCTTCTGCAATAGAAACCCAAGCCTTCTGTCTGCAAACAATGATGAAGGTAATTTGCAGTCACTTAGAACCACCCACCCAGACCGTTATGCAGTATTCAGCTAGGGACCAAGGGGATATGATTCCCTGCTCTAGGGAGATACCCCTGATGTAGAAAGAATAATGATACAGAATCACGGTGGCAAGAAAATTTAGAATTGTTTCCAATAGGAACTTTTACATTATCCTAAATATGTTTTGAAGGCTCATGTCATTTCCATTGTCATTCTGGCTTTAAGGAGGCCTGGTTGGAGTGTGAGAGGGCATTTTCCTAAAGACTTGCTGCTAGAAACTCATGGGAAGCCAACAGTCTGGAATCCTGGATCTGGAGAGGCTCTCAGACTTCCTTTCTTTACACAAACCAGTGAGTGAGGAGAAAGGACTCGGCTGCCAGGTGCCTAAGTCGTGGCTCTCCCCCTGGGGTCCCTGTCACTTCTAAACTTGAGTTCAATTTCTCCTTCTGGGGCAGGCATCTTTCCTCCCTGAAAAGCTGCTGCTTATCCCTGGCCCCATCCCCACTGTCTCTGCCATTAGCCATAGCAGTTGGCATCATCAGGGTCTCAGCCAGAGGAAAAGATGTCATTCTGCCTTAGTATTTGCTGTAATCTGACCAGGGCCATGTCCAGCTGGGATACCAAGTGACATTTGGAACTTTAAGATTAGAGGCCAAATGAATGAGCAGTCTCATTCTTCTCAAAACCCACTGAACTGCTGGTGGACGTAGATAAATTGCAATGGAAACCAACAGGGATTCTTTAATATTGATTCACTTTTGGAATTGGCCCAGGAAGAATGGGTGTCCGAAGCTGGGTTTCTTTTGGGCAGGTGGCAGGTTGGTCTCAGCCATCACCCTGCCTCCCACCAGTTTGCTCCTCAGCTTGCCTGGCCCAGAACTCCCTTTTCCCAGTTCCTGCTCCAGAGATGTCTTCTCTGTCTGGAGGGCAGTGGGCTGTTTTCTGCCATGTCCAGGCTCAACTGGTTTTGCTCCTTGCAGCAAGTCACCCTCAGGCCCAGAACTATTCTGAGTTATTCTGAGTGGCTCCCCTGAGAAAATTTGAGTCATTTGATTCCTCAAAAAGTTCCCCCTTCATGCCCAGCAGCCATTCATGCCAATGCAGGGAGATGGAGGCGGGAGCAGCCTCCCAGAACTCTGCAGGAGGCAGACTCCCATCTCCCTCTGCAAGCCCCACCGTCACTCTCTGTGGTAGCCCAAGCCCAGGCTAGGACCTTAGCACCATCCTCCCCTCTCTCTGTCTATCCCAGAACCTCAGGGCATACTTGTGACCAGCTAACCCATGTGGGCATGTACAGGCAAACAGAACCAGAACGGGAAATGAGTCATGTCTTTGTGTTACACAGTGGACACCTCTTTAGACGTCTATTGGTTTAAAGGGTCAGAGAAGGAAGAGGGATGAGACCATTCCCCTCTCCCAGAAATAAAGCTTGTACCTTCGAGATTCCTTTATGCCCTTGAAGTCAAACTAAAAATTGTGTCTAGTATGGAGGTGTCTGCTGGTTGACATTGGTGTTTTTTCTAATGCAATAAACATTTCTGCCTGAAAAAAAGAGTTAAAGCTATGTAATCCTTGACAGGAAATTACAACAGCTATGTAAGTCCATATGGCCTCAATGGAGTCTCAGATTTGATACTTAAAGCACAAACAATAAAAGGAAAACACATAAATCACACATCATTCAAATGTAAGTTTCTGTGACATGTTGAGTTTTTAACATTTTTATAAATATCATCACATTGCATGCATCTTCTGTCATTGCTTTTCTTCTATGAACTTTACAGCTTTGAGATTAATAGATTTAATATTTTGAAATCTAGTTCATTCATTTTAATGGTTGAGGTATATAGCAGCTCCCATGAAAGGAATAAATTGCAAAAAATGAAAAACTTTGTGCTTCAAAGGACAATATCAAGAAAGTGAAAAGACATCTATAGAATAGAAAAAAACTCTTGCAAATCATAATCTAATAAGAATCTCTGTGAAGAATATATAAAGATTGTTTAAAACTCAAAATGAAAAGACAAATGCTTGGGGCATACATGGGCAAAAGACGTGGATAGATTTTTAAAAAATTATTAGTTATGGATGGACCTTTATTTATTTGCTTCTATGTGGTGCTGAGAGTTGAACCAAGTGCTGCACACATGCCAGACAAGTGCTCTACCACTGAGCCACAATCCCAGCCCATGGATAGATATTTCTTTAATATAGTGGATCTGTCTTAAGTTTCCTATGTACACAGATAAATTCATCACAGTGAATTTCCACATCGTGTTCATCCACAAGGCTGGGATTCTAATTAAAATAATATGTACTCCATTTTTGTATAAATATGTCAAACTATACTCTCCTGTCATGTACACCTAAAAAGAACAAATAAAAACGTAACTAACATTTTTTAGTACTAGTGACCAACAGGAAGATACAAATCAAAACCACACAAAACTATTTTACATTCACTACAATGTCTAAAATTAGAGGTGGAAACAAAGTCTTAGAAAAGATATGAAGTAATTGGAAGTCTCATACATTTTTGGTGAGAAAGCAAAATGGTACAACTATTATAGAAAACATTTTTTGGTGATTCTTTATTAAGTGAAACACAAAATTATTGTATAAGCCAGAAATTTCACTCCTGAGTATATACCAAAAGAAATTGAAAACTAGAGTTCACAAACAAGTTTTACAATGTTTTTCATAACAGCTCTATTCACAATGGCCAAAAGGTGGAAATCACCCAAATGTTCATCAATGATGAATCGATAACCAAATTGTAATATGTAAATACAATAAAATATTATTTGGTCATAAAATCTGAGGTACTGATATATATATTTCACTTGAAAACAAAATGCTAAATGATAGCAATTTACATCACAAAAGATTACATATTATATGACTCTATTTTTATAATGTGTTCCAAATATGCAAAGCTACGGAGACAGAAAAATAAAGTAATGATTGTGTAGGGTGAAGGATTTTGGAAGCTAAAGTTAAAAAATAATTATTTTCCTGAGTTTTGACAATGGTGATGGCTGCATGCATCATTTAACACACTGAAAATTATGGAATTTTAGATTTTAAGAGGGTTAATTATGTAGTATGTAAATGATATCTTAACAAAGTTGTTATTTAAAAAAGAAAATGAAATGCTAGTCCACATACTAATTATAAGAAAAAGTGGATGAAGGACATTTAAATCTCTGATGTTCTTCATTTTTATTTCACAAATAAATCTTGTGGATTGTTGAGGGAATCAACATTAACTTTGTCTCTGGCTGTAGCTGGCCCTGTGTCATGATCCTGCCAGCCCCTTTTCCACTCAATGTGAATGAAGTTGGTGTGGCATCCTTCCTCTGTGTACCAGGATGTGCTAGTGATTATGCTGTGCTGTAGGCCCCAAAGATTCTGAGTAGAAAAAAAAAAAGAATATTTAAATCTATGCCATTTTACCCTCCCTCCTTCTACTACACATGCAGCAAGAGGTAGGACCTGCACAGATCCATACAATGTCAGAATTATCTGTTGACCAATGGCTAGTTCTTGCTCCC